CGATTAATAATTATTATGAAATAAATTAAACATAATTGCATTGCTTTATAAATGTATAAAAAACAATTACATTATAAAAGCAAAGAAATAAAACACAATTTAAGAAATCACATTTTTTTTCCATTTTGTTAAAATTTTGTCTAAATTTCCGATAAATATCCGGCATTGTTTTTTCTACTTATTTAACAATCTGATATTATTATTTAAAAAAAGAATTTTTTCAATACGTTTATCATTATAACTTTTAGATAAGTTTCATTCAGTTTCGTCAGTTTTATACCATTGTTCGTTGGTCGCTTCTTGGCAGTTGCAAAATCATGTTTTAAGGTGTTTTTGATACCTAATAAAAACAACAACACAGCCCCGGCAAGAAGCACACACAGTTACTCACACACACATATACAGAACTGCATCGAAAACGCGCCATGCCAAAGGGTCAACTGGAGATGGGGCAAGTCAGCAACGGCAATGGAAGAGCGGCAGGCGGGGAGGAAGGGAGGTGGGCAGGGGTAGCCGCGGATTTAAGGGCAGCGGCGAGCGCCGCAGTGGCCAACGGAAGAAATACTTTTTGGGCCCAGGTCCCCAATATACGTCATAGCGGCGACGTCGACTGCGACGCCGCTCGGCGTGTTTATTATAAATCAACAAATCATTCATTATAACCACTTGTGTGTACACACACAGACACAGATACAGATATGCCTACATGTATAGGTATGTGTGTGCATATGAGAAAGTGGCGTAAACATGAAAAGAAACACAAGCTGGCAACGCCATGAAGTTTTTGGATATGGCCATCTATGTGCTGTATCCGAATATGAGTATCTGTATCTGTATTTGCATCTGTATCTGTATCTGTGTGTTTATCTGTCCGTGTGTGTGTGGGTGTGTCTGTTTGCTGTCGTTTAATATGCATATTTGCGTATTATTTTGATTTTAATAATGATTTATTTATTATTAATAATTCATTGGTGGTGGGCCCTCGCCAAGATCGGATTGGATTTGTGCTGGCTTGAACGTTGATTGCGATCTGATCTCCAGCCACCAGGCAGCAGCTTCTCAAGTGCAAAAGCACCACGCACCACAAACAGAGACCGATCTCCAGCCAGGTTGCCATTTGAATACGAGCATCGGCTCAGTTCGACTTTGAGTCCATGAATGGGCATATACTATATACATATGTGCCCAGCTGGGGTCGATCGTTGGCTGGCTCGTTGGTAACACAAGTTGCGTTATGTTGGAAACGTAGGAAACGCATATTATAATGAGCTTCAATTAAGATAGAAATCTCGAAAACAAAAGTGACAAAGATTTATTGGTTCACAATTATGCATTGACTACCTTGAGGCACTAGACCAAGAGACCAAAACTATGTGAAACTTAGTACAAGTTGACTAGTTAGTGGCAAACACACACACACACACACACACACACACACACACACACACACATACAAGCATACATTATCTAATATCAAAAAGAACTGGGTATACTTTGAATATGTGTAAAGGGTTGCAGATCACATTAGATTGCATTTTTGGTTTAGCCAAGTGAATCATCCGTATTTGCCTGTGGCATAAATTAAAGTATTTTATTTGTGAAATATTTTATCCTAAACCAGTAACAGCTGGCATGGTTAATATGCAAAAATGTATTAAGGTTCGTTCTGGCATAGAGAAAACTCTAGCACAAGAGTGGTTCGTTTGGCTGAATGTATACCAGATGAATGTTTTATAAATTCTTGACTTATCTCCATTTTATTAATATATGTGAAATTTTTTTGGTTGGCAAAATGCGGTGCAGAAATTAAAAAAAGTTATTCGATTTGGGAAAAGGTTCTCTGTTGTATATTGTCACTATAGGTAAAATTAAATATAGATTTTGATTCTCGCGTATACAAGTTAGTTAGTAAGGGCATTTGACCAGCGACCATTCGCCTCACTTCTTTTGACTCATTCTCACTCTTTCTCTTAACTCGAACAGTAGCCTCCCATGTTTACCAAGTCTCCAATCTGTGATTTACGAGTGCTCCATGCAAAACTGGGTAACTGTTATACCAGTTTAAATATTTGGTAAAAGCGAATCGATGTGGTGTATGCGACTTTTGGCCAACATGAATAATAGACCAACTATTTTGATTTACTGCCGTACATTGAACTCAAAGCGGTTGCCCCTAAGAACCCATCGCTGGCGCCTCTGAGCGCCCCAACGTGTCCCAGCCTTTGCTTCCCTTTTCGGCGCCTGACCAGTAGGAGCCTCCGTCTCCGCCTTGCCACATTAATGTCAATTTAATGTTTCCTTAATGACTTCTTTCGCTGCAACTTCTTTGCCTCTTCTGGTTACAGTTGTTGTTGTTTCAGTTCTTATCAGTTGCTGGTCAAACTTGTCGCTTGGCTGGAAAGTGTTTATGCTAAATAGCTAACGAGTTTTTCCCCCATGAAAGTGAAGGGCGAGTCTTCAAGTCAACCAAATAGTTGCTTATTTCTTTAAAATTTTGAGAGCTACTGCTTTGGTGTGATATGGTATTATATGGCATATTCTCTGGCTGACATGTGCTCGTCGTGCCGTCTATTTATTTGGGTCGGCAATTAAGATTTTTATCAGCGCCTTTGATGGGGCAATAAAAACGTAAAGATCTTGCAGACAAAGTGCAAACAAATGCGCGCTCTTTCTGCTCTCTATTTCTCTAGCTCACGCTCTCTCCCTCTGCCTCTTTGTCTCTCTGGCTTGCCAGCTCATTTATGCGGCTGGGTATTTGTCAAGAGCGTGCGCCGCTTTAAAGAGTCATAAAAATCGGCTAAATGCGCTTTCAAAAAGGTGTGAAAACACAAACACCCAGCAGCCAGATGGTTTAGGGTATGCCTCCGGGACGCTTGAGGCTAGCTGCTGCACTTGACGAACTAGTTGCCAGTTCTAACCGCAAACTAAATGTTTAATTTGTCGACGCGCACGTCGCTTATAAACACCCCTCTCCCCCTTTGCTGACTCCTGTCTGCCGGCGCTCCGGCGAGCCGCCAACCATTTGTTTGAATTTGTCTAAAGTGGCTGCCCTTTTGCCCCCCTGCATTCTCTCTCACTCTTCCCAGTTACAATTTTCATAATTTTCATTGCTGCTGCAAAAAAAAAGCGTTTGTCAAATTTTCCGTTTACTCTTAGTTGGCGCCCCTGCTCGCAGTCGGGCCCCCACACTCCGCGCATAGTTGTGTTTCCTTTTCTTTTTAATTTAATATTTTTCTTTGTTGTTTCTTTTTTGGGTGTTATGTCTGCAGTCTGCATCTGGATGTCCGTCTGGGTTTACTACTCTCCCTCCCTCTCTCTCTCTCTATCTCTCTCTCTCTCTCTCTCTCCTGCTCTAGTGCTGTTTCCCTCGCTCACTGTGTGCTCTTCAGCTGGAAATTACGTTTACTCAGGCGCCAGACGCGCATATTTAAATACACACGTGTTTTATCGCTGCCATTAAATCATATTTTTATACTTTACCTTTTTGCTGTGCCACCTTCAATGACTCCACACCCCCAGCCCCTACTACGCCCACCCGCCCAACCCGACTACTTTTGGGCGCGTTGGCATTTTGATTGTTTACATTTTGCACTTTCACGGCGTAAACAAACAAACGGCGCTAAAAATTGTGAGAAAAAATATAAAGTAGGAATACAAGACAGAGACAGAAACGGGACGGAGTCATAGACAGAGACAGCGACAGAGGCACCGTCCCGTTGGAAGGGAGTAGGAGAGAAGGGGAGTAGGGTGTCTGAGAAAGGGTTTGGTCAGGACGTAAGGGACGGCTCTTGTAGCGCCAGACGAAATGCCAAGGGGTCTTGAAAGTAGTCTTAGCTCAAGTAATTTGATTGATAGATTGAAATTGTTATACAAAAATATTCCAATAAGCCATATCCTAAATATAAATTGAATGCATTTGAGATGGGCATGCGCCGTGTTTTTCTCTAAAACGATCTCTAAAATCAAGCCAAGAACAATATTATCTGGTGTAGTTTTCAGCTTAAGCATATTAGAAATCGCACGATTCAGTCAAAAATCATAGGCATTAATTAACCAAATTAAAAAAAAAAAATAGAGATTTGAAGGGAAATAGATATTAAGTTCCCGATGCTGCTTTTAATAGTTGTTGAAAAGTAGCGAGTAATTAGAAATATCTCTATTCTCCGTTCTGAGCCAGGCCTTTTTAAGTTTTTCTCGTTGTGTTTGGAAAACTTTGTTTCGCGTTCGTATTGGGCTGAGCTGTAAAAAGCCGGCCATAGACCATTACAAATCAAGCCTTTATCAGTCTATTTTCGTCAGCGCCCTTATTATTAAGTTAACTAGTTTACTCAGTTGGGAAAACCATCACTCGGGCTATAGAGTTTTTTATATATTTCATATTTCCTTTAATAAATAAATAAACATTACCAGCCAAATAGAAAAGCCCTATTAGTAATATTGCAAACAAATATAATGATCACCAACCAAATATAATAATTTTGGACTACTTTACAGTAACAAGTGCAAATGGCTATGCAGCAAAATTTGACTTGGATCTAAGTGTGTTGGCTATCAAACAGCAAATTGTTTATTAGGCTAAGTTGCTTTTTAAATCCCAATCGCAGCTGATTTAACAAGTTGAATTATAAGTGTTGCCTTACACTTCTTAAGTGATCAGTTGCATAGGTGAAAGATCAAACGAACGTGTCCCTAATCGGCTACTGTTCAGAGCATACTCGGCTTACGCTTCTCCTAAATCCCTCCACCCTCTTTAATGCTCTAGCAATTTGCTGCATTATGGCAAAAGCAACAACAACAACCTGCAGCAACAACAAGAAAGATTAGTTTCAATTTACAGAAGTGGCCCCACCACACGTGGGGCTGCTTAAGCATTAATACCTCATGCAACGCTCTCCCCCTGCGTCTCGCCAAGCGGCTGCTGCGGCGTGGAGCTTGTGGAGAGTCAACAATTTTTTAGCATTTTTTAAACGCTTCTCTTCTCTGGTCTTCTGCATTTTCAGGTAAGATAAGATCTGATTTAACACAATACGGCGGCATATCAACAGACATGGGTAAGAAAATTTCCACATTTTTATTTCTTTTATATTTTAAATTTATTTTGCATTAGCGCAACGAAACTAGTTAAGATCCAGCCTAGAATATCGTAGAGTTGTCTACTAATATTAGAAATTAGTTAGAAATTAGCAAAAGGTGTTGGTGCTACATACTCCCCGGCATAGACATTGGCAAAGCAAAATTGAAGGCATCAGAGGGGAAAAGGAGCTGGGAATCTTCTCTTGTAACTTGGGGGCGTCAAACGTTAACTCAAATGCGCCAGCCCCAGACCGTGTGGAAATGATTGATTAGCCGGCCCCATGCGGCCTGCCAGCTGATTAGGCCAAATGCGGCTTGGCAACACGCAACGTCAGCGCAATTAATGTTAACATTAAGCAGAGTCAAGTAGCAGCCACCAGCCACACGTTGCAAGTGGCTCGCACTGCGGCCACAAAGCTCAGCCACTGCTCTGCCTGCCTCTGCTATCGGCAAGCGGCGACTTCTGTGGCCCAGAGCCACTGGAGGCGTTTAATTTTCAGCCAGTTGCTTGGTGGAGCCTTCGCGTTGCGAGGTTATCAATCAGCGCGTCGTCGTCGTCGACGTCGACTCCGAGCAGCTACTTCTTAAAATCCAATTACACGCACAGATTGCCAGACTGACAGACTGAGCAACTGGGCAACTGAGCAATTGCGAAACTGAAAGGCCGCCAGACTGATCAGCCACTCAAATTACATGAATCAAGCCGGCGCAAGGCATGAATTGAGGCGCAAAATTGCCGAGACGCGCCACCCAGACTTTACCCCAACCCACACGTCACCCTTCCCCTAGAGATAGAGATAGACTCGACTCTGCCCTGGCTTATTATTGACTATATTCAATTGATTATCTCGTGCAAAGCGGTAGCTAAATATTGGCACAGACGCAACAAGTGGGCAGCTAGTCCAAGCGTGAGTGTTTGCATCTCTAGAGATGCTCCACGGCAATCCTGGCCGCGGTCATCCTCAGTGCGGTGGGCAGTACTTTTGGCACTTGGCAATTGACTAGAGTTGGGATAAGATGCGAGATACAGATTGGAGCTGGCAACTAGGTGCCACCGCAGAGAGCTACCACTTTGCCAAAGTGAGTGGGTATTATAAGGTTGGCTCAGCGAAACGATCTGTTGATTTGGCCCTAGTTAAGTTTACTCTTAATAATAAGAGTTTTGTTATCTTTTAATTTGATTTATTGTATATTAAAGTATATAATAAGATGAGATCGCCACCTAGGCTGAATGATAGAAAGAAAAATTATAGAAGTTTTAGTTTTTTCAATCCCAAAAATGTGTTTAAATATTAAGCTCAGTTCATGCTACAGATTTTCTAGTTATTTTTACTTAAAAGTTGAGCTCTGATGTTTATTTAAATGAGAATTTGCACTCGTGACTTGATTTCCAATCATTTAATCATTTCATAAATCTTATTTCCTTTACTTATACATAGAATAAGGAACATAATATGATATTATCTATATAGCATATGGTATATATGACAACAAAGCCCACCTTTTACCCGCTAAATACAACCTATAATAATGATAATCATTCTGTGCTGCGCGGGTAAAATCTCATAATTTCGCTGTCATTTCTCACTCATTTCAACAGCACAAAAACAGAGCTCGAACCCCAACAGTTGGCGCAAACTAAACGCAACTAGGGCCTAGGGGAAGGTTGGTGGGGTGGGGACTGCATCCATTTGGTGGGCGGGGCCGTCATTCGCAATGCTGCTGACATTGAACATGACATTTTCCCCCAAAGAGATAATTAAATTGCGGGCTTAATAGAATTAAATGCCGTGTTTGCATTTCAAAATCCAAAACGTGCCAAATGCCAATGGCCGTGCTCCCCGTTGCACACCCTATTCCAGAGTACGACGCGGTTCGCCTGGCAGCAACAATAACAACAACTGCAACAAGAACAGAGGCAGCCGCAACAAAAATACAAAAAATGTCAATTTGGACAAGTTTTGATAATTGCAGGCGCGGCCGCGGCCGCGACCGAGGTCCAGAGTCGCGTTCGAATTGTGGCGGCAGCTACTGTGCTGCATGTTGCACGTTGCACGTAGCACATTGGCCATGGTGTGTGGTGTGTGGTGTGCGTGTGTTGCTGCTGCTCCATGTTGCATGTTGCAGTTAATAATTATTGAAATGTGCGGCCGCCAGGAATTGTGCTCGTGCTCCTTGAGCTTCCTGCGCGGCTTCCGCCAGCAGCAGCGGCAACGGCAGCGGCAGCGTCAATGTTGCATGCATCGTTACCTTTAAGCTCTGCTGCTGCTGCTGCTGTTGTTATAGTTGTTGCTGCTGCTGCTGCTGCTCAACTTAAGACTAACAATGCTTGCATTTTCCCACCTTTTTCACATAACTTTTCAGTTGTTGTTTTTTGTTTTCGTTTCGTTGCCTCAGTTCGTCTTCGGCAGCCGTTGCCACTGGCAGGGTAAACAAGTCGGCCACTTGGCCAGCAACTCGTTACCCACCCCTCGCTGCCTGCCGCCCTCCCGCCCGACACACAGTTAACCCTCTGCGGCGCACACACATCGTCGATGTCTCGAACTTGTTACCACTTTGAAAGCGGGCCGGCCTCCGTTCGGACTGGCCCCTGTAATAAATTCATATTCAAATTGTTAATTGAATATTATTTGTTAAATTTGCAAGCATTAAATGTAAATGTCGGCTGACTGGGCAAATGTGGCGGGGGCGTGACCGCGGCCCGTGCAAATACCGCTTTTCGTATAATTTCGTAATTTTGGTTATTTAATTTTATTTTCTGCCTGGTTAGTAAAATTTATGCGATTTCAAGAGATTTTTAAATCTGAGCTGCAATTGAAGTATTAAATTCATGCATCTTTAATACTGTACCAATTCTCTGGCGCCAATAATTTGGTCACTGTACCAACGACCCGCATAAAAATCTCGCCCAAAAAAGCAAAAAAAAAAAAAACACGCACCGATGAACAACGAGTACTCGTGACTGTAACTGTAACTGTAAATGTCGCTGTAACTGTGACTGTGACTGTAATTGTATCCTGTGTCCTGTGAGACTGTTGGCTGTTGTCCTTGTCAGGCGCTTTGCCTTGGCTGTTGTTGTGCAATTTCCATAATTCATATTCATAGACATTACAAGCGGCCAGACAAACAAGCAACAAACGAGGCTGGCGCGAAGCTACCTGCACCTGCAATACGGACAAATGTCCGTCCCAACAGTCGCCAAAAAAAAGGAGCAACAAAAAAAGGAATCTGCAAAGTGTAAATGCGGCCAAAGTGCAAAAATTGCACATATGCTTTGGGGCAGGTTAACAAAAAACCCCGTATGAAGTGAAGCTTACATAAAACGTTTCAGCAGAAGCGATTGAGGGAGAGAGAGAGAGAGAGGGGTGAGAGGGAGAGAGACCTGTGTAGCACAGAGACTATTGCGGCACGTTTATACATAAATTATGCTCTACGATCTCAACAAGTGCATGGACAACTCTAGGGTTTATCCATTCATTTGATTGAGCTTTGAATTACGAGTAATTTATACCCTGAGACGAGAGACGGAGACCCTCATAAAATCAACAGGAAATCAACAAGCCCATCATCATCATCATCATCAACATCATCGCAAACATCAAAACTGAACAGAATTCAACTAAAGTATCTTTTAGATACGCATGCACATTCAACGTGCTACATTTGATTTTACACACACACACACACTTCGAAATTATTAACTGGGGAGCATTTTGTAGTTCGGCAAGCGTAAGTGTTGTCCTGGACCTCGAACAGCAAACTGAAACAGAAACACTTCATAAAATGGCACACGGCACTTTCGTTTTTACCGTTGGCATCTGCAGCACGTGAATGAACAAGATGAGACAGAGAGAGAGAGAGAGAGAGAGAGAGAGAGAGAGAGAGAGAGAGAGAGAGAGAGAGAGAGAGAGAGTGAGAGAGAGAGAGAAAGCAGGTGGGAGGGCTGCCAATAGAAGGCTGCCACATGTGGCAGTGGACAACGACAGCTGGAGGTAACCACCAGGTTTCAATTAATGAATTAGTAATTTCGGCTTTATTGCTGTAATGAACACTTGGACCAACGTCCAGTGGGCGGATGTGTGTAAAATTTCTGTTAATGTTCTTATAAGGCAGTTGGTTATAATCGATAATTTGTGGATAATATCTAATGGGGCAGAAAATCAAAGTTTATTGATGCCAAAAGTACAGTTGGCCCTTCAGTTGATATTTCAAGTAAAGCACATATTAAATAAATAATAATAAACTTTAGTGGAAGACATTTCAATTCTTTGGCAAGTAAATGGTAAAGTTGTGCCCGATCAGACGATTAAAACTTAAAGGCCAGCACAATTTTTTAAATGAGAACATGAGCAGAGATAAATTATATTAGATTTCTGCACTGTAAGTCTTACTGGAATTCATGAGAATCGCGGAGTAGGGCACATCAATAAAATAAAAATCGAATAAAATGAGGGCTCGAGTAAGAGTAGGAAAAGAAAGATGATTCAAATAAGGGAAAAAATAGTAAAGGAAAAGAGAGTATTCTATACAGGAGAGTAAATTAGAGTGAGAGGATGGGTTGAAACAACAACTTATTTTCAAAGCATGAAAAATCTGTTAATCTTAAATTGATGAGAATCGCAGAGTAGAGCAATATTTTTCTTGCAGAGCAGCGGTTAGAACGCCTGCTCATCGGCTGGTATAAGAAAACATTGATGCATACATACTCGCATAGTATAATGTGGCATTTTTGAAAACTCTGAAGCCCTTAAACACCTATCAGTAAATCAGTTTGGAGGCTCTTACGGATTGGGCTGTCAGTTGATCACCTATCAGTCAGTCAATCAGCCGGTATAACCAGTTTTATATGTAGATTATTAACATGAATGGAATTGAGCTTAGCATTTTCATTTCAACCCGGATCCGTGCTCGGCAATTCACATATTAATAGAACTTTTCGAATTTCCACAATCTAATCAATCTTGCTCCAAATATTTTT